GTTTTTTTTTTCTATTTTGTTCTGTTAAATCTTCAGTCCCACACCACTTCTCCTTTGGGGACATGCATGTTCTACCTCCCATTGTGGACACAGCACCTCTTGGAGAAGTTTTAGTGGTTCATGGTGCTGAAGCTCTGGAAGAGAGAGAAGGGGCAAATTATAATTCAGTGAAAATAACAACACTTAGACACTAATGATAAATACTGTCGCTTGAACGAAATGCAATTCTAATGTAGAACTGAGATTTTCACTTGCCATTATATTTTTTTTAAATGATAGCTCCAGTAACTCTTCAAAGATCTAACATTTAAAGAGACCAAACTATATGCAAAGTCATATACAGTACAGAGTCATTCATCAGACTTTTTCTGAGCTTTTTTTTTTTTTTTTTAACCCCTGTAAAGGAATATGGCATTCAATTTAGTGGTGCAAAAGTATCACTCAGTTCCAGGTGAAAGGGCAGAGACAGGATAAATTCTGTATTTTAGATGCTGTGTGTTAGCTAATGATCTCTGTTGGGGTAGGATTTTATATTTGCTAGACCTCACAGCTAGACCCAGAGGGCTGGGTGCTGGAGAGGCGTGTTAAAGCAGCGCACCCACCGGCTGCTGCTGCGGTAAAGTTCTCCCTTGTCTCCCTTCATCCTCATAAGAAGGGGAATTTCAGTCCTTTCATGCTAGACTGGGGCTCTATGCTTAATAAAGAGACAAATCAGAACAACACTCACCATCCAGTCTTCCCTCAACACCCTACAAACTATGCTGTTTCTTAGAGAACCTGGAAAACAAAATTCTGACCGAGTATCAATGTCCTGGAGGTTTTGGGCATCTTGTATAAATGCAGCTTCCCCAAAACAGCAGCAGTGACCCAGCCCCAAGCTCCAGCCCAGGCGCATCTTGGAGCCAAAGGACAGATGACACATGGGGCTGTTCAACGGTGCTGCCGTCCCACAGGGGACGTATGTCTCCAGCCTCCCACTGCGGCTTTCCCTGCATGGAACCTGCAGCCATCCTCATCCCTGTCCTTATTCCAAAATATATAGCTCTCCCACTCTGTCTCACCTCCCCGGCAGTGGTGAAGCCACAGCAGTCAGCTTCCCAGCCTCCCCTCCCATAAGCCAGCCTCCTGGCCCCCATGTCACCCCCAGACAAGAACTGTACACTTCACACAGCCATCAGCTTGTGTGCTCCAGCACATGATGCTATGTGGGTCGTAAGATTATTAACAGTAAAGTTGATGTTTATGGTTCTGTGAGTTTTTACTGAATTTGCCACTAATGCACTGAACTCCTTTGCACTTCTGACAGTAACTTGCCTGAAGTGTCTTACAAACCCTGGTGCAACCAGGACATCATGGACAGTGCAAGTGCCAGGACAAACCCAAAGCTCCTTTCACAAACAGCCAACATGCTGGTCTCTTGGACAGATGCTGCTCCCATCTCTGGCATTAGGCTGATCTAAAGAGCCTGATCTATTCCAGACCTTGTCACGGAGATTATGGGGACCAACCATCTCCTATGCTTTTTTGCGTACGTCCCTAACCCTCAAATATGCTCAAGGCACCCATGGGCACCCACTTTTCCTCCAGTCACAGCCTTGTAGTCCTGCTGTTAGGAGGCAGAAAGCCATGAAAAGCCAAACCTTGACTTGCAGGAACAGTACAGTCATTCAACGTCTCAGCAACCAGCTATGCTGCAGATGGATGAGGATGAGCTCAGGTCCGAGCAGCATGAGGCCAAGCTAGGGAGAGAGAGACTCTGAATGATTAAAGCTGCTTTCTGCCTTGAGAGCTTTCCAAGTTTCAGAGCAGTTCATGGTTTGTAGAACGTTTTGCACTGCTGCTGTAAATACATAGCAGGAGGCCAGAAGAGACTGAACAAAGGCTGAAGCACTGCAATGGAACAAAGATGTCGTGGCTTTATATATAGGGCTGCTTTCTTTCTGTAGGACTTCTGATGTGTCTGAAGTTTCTCTGGAGAACAGCATGTTTTCCAACTGTGGGTAATGTTGCTATTTGCTCCGATTCCTCTGCATCCTGTTCTGAACAGATACCCTACACTGGGCTTTGGATAGTCCGTATATAACAAATGAGCAAAAAGTCAAACTCCAGTGAGCGCTTTATTCTGTGTGTACTGCTGGAATGCTGTTCTTCGTAACATAACACGTGCTTTAGCAATGCACTACAGATGGTGATATTTTAGGAAACTGGAATATACTTAAAAGCTGATCAATAAAAAGTGTACACTGAAAATATTTTTCAAGTTCTCTAATCATTCCTATCTCAGTTAATGCTGAAGCTTGCCATTCTTTTTCCCCCACCAAGATACTATTAATCATGGTCTCATCTAACACTTCCTTCAAAGCATCCGCTGCCCCGAATGATTCGTCGCATTTCTAATCCAAAATCAAATTATCCACTGTTAAAAGAACACCGTAGTATGCTGCATAGAGAAGTGACAGAGTGAAGAGACATCTTAACTGTAAATTCCCTGAATTTTTATTTTATAATTAAAAACACCAGAGGTACTTTCCAGGCCCAGACTGAAGAGGAATTAGATCTCTAACTGGGTCTGTATGACTAATCTTGCAGACACTGAGTTGAAACTCTATGAACACTGAGAATTAAATATAAATATATCAATGTGCATACATGTTAAGCATACTTATGATTTGAATTGATTCACAAAATTGAGCACATGCAACTTAGGCGTTTTGTTCTGGAAACAGACTTTTTCCAGACTGAAGGATGTGAAAACTGCTTTCCTATATAATGTGATTCAGTACATCTGTGTGTGATTACATAAACACATTTCAGACTGTGGAGCAGCACAGTCAAGTCTCATAGAAGTTACATTCATTAAATTTTGTTGGTCCACGTGATCTCCCCTGGACCTTCAATATTTGCCCGTTTCTAAGATTTACTGAAGATTTCCTATATTTTCTAGTTAGAGCAAGAGTGGAGGACTGAGAATTAATTATACTAGCCTTGAATAAATGACAAGTCATTGTTTCAGGGCTGAGCAAGCTTGCCTGAAGTCACTAACAGAAATCAAAGCAACTGACAAAACTTTGCTACTTTAACTACATTGGTTCACCGAAAGTAGACTCAGAAATACTTTTTTTTAAAATGTGTGTCATCATTTTGCCTTCATATAATTCCATCTCTTGCACAGATCAGCTTTTCCCCATGAGCACAGGACTGCTATTTTCCTTCAAGCATCACTAGCTAGAGTCACGACTGAGAAGGTCCTAACAAGCATATCTGAGTAACCATACTAGGTGGGGTGTTTCTATGGAGGCTAGGCAGTGGTAACTCCCAATTTGTGGATGCAGTAGCTCTTCCCTCCAAGTATCTTCATACCTGCACCGTCCCACTGGCACACACTCCTGCATGCTTGGGGTAGTTGGTCTTGCCATGGAGATTGAAGTCCTGCCAGCTCATCCTTTACCTGAAGCTTTGGTTATTTTTAAGTAAATCTTGGTTGTTACAGTCATATCTGGGCAACTGGCTGAGCATGAGACAGGAATTGTAGACACATGCAGGCAGTTCCTGCCCCAAAAACCTAAGTAAAATCTGGTTTATAATGCGGCTACATAAGAAAAACATATTGCCATAGCACTGGAGGAATCTTTTTCACGTTCTGAAGACCAGCTTTTCAACCAGTGGGTGATGAGAATCATCCCAATTCTACCACCAGGAGAGGACACATGCAGTTTGAGCACACTGTTTCAAGCCTGCAGTTGTTGTCCAACCTGGATGCAGACTGCACATAGGTGTGAAACTATGAAGAACAGACACAGCGCTTAGTGTATGGATGCTGAACCAGTTTTTAGAGCTTATAACAGAACATGGTTCTTGGCGAACGCTTGAAAACACTTGGTAGCTTGTTTTGGAAACAGAAGACTAAATCAAGAGTTTTACGAAATTAATGTCTTGCTGAATACTTACCAGGACTTTTCAGCACGTTGAAGCCTAATCTCTGTGCTGAATCACAGTGCTGAGTACAGAAACAAGATCTGGTGGTGTGTGGGGACAAAATATCTGTCTTCTTGAAATGCATATGCATAAAAAAAAAAAAAAAAAAAAAAAAAAAAAAAAAAAGCACATCTGACTGCCTCCTAAAGGGAATGAGCTCCTAAAAAGCCAAGACAGCAAGAGATATGCTCACACTCATGCTGAAAACCTTTCTAATGACACATTACCTGTGATTGATACAGCAGATATTGTCAGTAGGTGTGGAAGCCAGTGTCATCACTGTGTTGATGGTACAAAAGTGAAGATCTGACTAGAGGAGAATTCTCTCTGCGGCTTTCTGGCTCCTTAGGAAACACAATGAGTACTTTAAACGGCTTGGTCTTTCATTATAGGCTTTTGTATTGCTGGAGGCATTGCAGGCTTGCATAGCTGTAAGTAATCTCTGTAGAAACCTCTCTACAGGGGTTAGAAACGCCTAGCCTTTTCAGCCACGGAACACCAAGGGCTGTGCAGCATACACTTTTCAGTTTGATGCATGCACATGCAAAAGTGGCCTCTAGATGCTCCTGCAATCCAACTAAATCAGCCTGTTTCACGGTGAAAACTGATGGGGAGCGGGGCATGGAGACGAAGTAACTTGAACCTGTTTTTATATAATAAAATAACTCTTCTAAGTCCGGAAAAGTATCCGTTGCGCAACTCTGCCCCTTTCCAGCTGCAAGGGCTTGATGAACCTACAGATTCTTCTCTAACTGGGGCTCCCGACGGGCTCTTGCCGCCGTCGGCAGGAGCTCCCAGCACTTCTGCGAGAAGAGAAACGTGGTTGCTCCAGAAACATCCGCATGCCACCGCCCAGCAGCCTGTGCCCCGGCCCCGCAGCCCCTGCCCCGGGTGGCCTTCGCCACCGGCCACCCTCCGCTGCCAACACCGG